CACTGCCGTTCACACCCGGTCACGTTCGTTCAGGCGGGCGGCGGGAGGACGAGCGCGGCGGGAGGACAACAGCGTGGCGGGAGGAGCGGCGTCGTGGGAGGACAGCAGCGTGCGGGAGGAGATTTGCGCGGCGGTCGCCATCGCACGGAAGGACAGCAGCGCCCCGTTCATGCCCGTCCACGCCGTTCACGTTGCCGTTAGGACCGTTCACGTGGCCGTGAACGAAGTGCCTTTCGTTCACGTTCCGTTCACGGCCTCTCAGCGGCTCTGCGGCCACAACGTTTGTGGGGAGCGGAAAGTCAAGGCCGTCGCTGGTGGCGGTTGGTGGGGTGCCCATTGGGCGGTGGGTGAGGGGTGCTGGTGTGCTGTGGGGGGATTTCGTTGGGGGGCTTCCTGTGGGGGCTTTTGGTGGTGGGGCTCCGGTGGGGGGCTTTCAGTGGGGTTCTGTGGGGGCCTTTTGGTGGGGGGCGCTTCCGGTGGGGGATCCCGGTGGGGGTCCGTGGCCTGCAAGGCTTCCGGTGGGCTGCTGTGGGGGGCTTTCAGTGGGGGTTCTGGAGCATCGTAATGGCTCCAAAGAGGAGGAATGGGGAGGGGGAGGGTTCTCAGGAGCCCTTCAAGCCCGTCAGCTCGGAGGAGCAGCGCGAGACAATTGCTCGCTGCTGTATTTTCAAGTACCTTACGAAGGGGCAGACACTGGACAGTTGCAAGGGGAACTATAAAATGAAATGTAATTTCTGCAACAAGCCCCCTTTTCAGGGGAGTCAATCGCGGGGGGCGGACCACTTCGCCAAGGGGCGGTGCCCGAGGGTAACGCCGGAGGTTCTCGTCGACATTTGGAACACGACGGAGTACACCTTCGACAAACAGCGAGAGAGACAGGTGCGGGATTATATGGAGTATCGTGGCATCCCGAATACCAGAGATGGTGGAGTTGGACGGGGGGCGTTGGACGCGGTGCAGGGTGTCTTGGACAGGGAGGGGGTGGATGGCAAGGGAGGAGAGCACTGCGACGACGACGGTTGTGTCGGCGCAGGGGGGAGAACTGCTTGACGCGGGCCACTGGGCGAGGGAGCAAAGGGGGACGGCGACGACGAGGATGTGGAGGAGTTAGGAGCATCCCTGCAAGGGGGGGGTTTAGAGAGCCACGTGCGGGTTGTCAGCCGACGGGGCATGTCGCTATGGATGGACGTGGGAAGAGGAGGGCAGACACTGCTCCTACGGCGAGCGCTCCGGAGCCGAAGCGCTTGAAGCAGGTTAGGTTGGACGAGGTATACGGTCCGGAGTGGCAGGCCACCTTCGACCATCTGTTCGTTCAGTGGTGGTATATCAGTGGCATCCCATTTGAGACGGCGAGGATGGCGGAGTATGGGGCCCTCTCACAGCATGTGCTGAACATGCCGAGGGGTGTGAAGCCTGCTTTGCCACAGTTCAGGCGCATAGCAGGCAATGAGATACAGGAGGAGCGTTTGCACATAGCTGATAAGCTACGTGACATACGCGGTCAGATGGACCACACAGGGGTCACCATCCTCATAGATGGGAGGAAGTCGCTGAACTTTGAGCCCATCATCAACTTCCTGGCAGTTGGACAGTCGGGCGCCTTCCTTTACACGACAGTTCGCAGGGAAGGGGTTGATGCAGAGACTGCAGATGTGGTGTTGCGGCGGTGGAAAAAGGTGTTCGAGGACTTCGGCGCGAAGAAGATAAATGCTATCTGCACGGACTCCGCATCAGTTTATGTTGCTGCTGGCCGCGCACTTCGTGATGACCCCGATCCAGATATTCGTCGCATCCCTTGGCTCCCTTGTTCGGTCCATTGCTGCAACTTGATGTTGTCTGACATGGTCAAGGACAAGACATGGGCCATTGAGTTGCTGACGAGGGCGAGGGCGGTTGTGCACTTCATCATGTCGCACGGTTCGGATCTCGCCTTGTTCAGGATTTACAGCGCTAGGGCCGATCGCGACACACGGGGCGGGCGTGTCAGTGGCAGCACCGCAAGCGGAGAGGAGGCACGCGGCAGAGGACGACGGGGCCGAGAGTTGTTGTAACCTTGCCAGACGCGATGCACGTCTATGTATATCATGATGGAGAGGTTGCGCGACCGTAGGGTTCCACTAGAGACGATGATGTTGGAGGGGGATTGGGCGCGACTTCCATGGGAGAGGAGGCTCCTCGCCCAGGCTGGTTGGGTGCGCACGCAGGTGCGATGTGGGCTGTTTTGGGAGGAGATGGATGATCTCATCGACGTCTTCACCTCAGTCGTGCAGTTATTGAGGCAGTTGGACCAGGGGGGGTTGGTGATCTCGTGCATCTTCCGGTGGGTGACGCAGTTGGCTGAGGAGATTCGGAAGTTGGAGGTAGCGAGACCTCGCCTGGTTGGGATGTTGCAGGATTGTTACGGCCAGCATACCATCTCTTGGAGCCTGCCCATGCCGCCGCCCATCTTCTAAATCTGAGGAGGCGGACCTTCGTTTACTTCCAGTCATGTGATCGCAGCACTCAGCAGAAGAAGGTGGCAGAAATGACACTGGAGTACATTTGCACGCACACAGGCTTCGACCGACGGGGTGAGAGGTACCGATTGGTCCGTCAGCAGCTGTACGACTTCCACTCCCGTGGTCCGAGATATGATTGGGGTGGAGATGATGGCACCGGGGACGAGGATCTGTGCCAGGGGGTGGACGAGACACAGGCGATTGCTGATTGTTGGGTTCTGCACGGCGGGTGTGCCCCTGAGCTTTGTAGCATCGCCACACGTCTGATGTACACGTGGGTATGCGCCTCTCCTGCACAGAGGAACTGGGCGCTAGATGAGCGCATCCACGAGAAGCGCCACAACGGCTTGGACTTCATGAAACTGACCGAAATGGTTGAGATGTGCGCGAACAAGAAGCTCCTGACATGTAGAGCGAGGAGGAGGGGACTCGTCTTGCCGTGGGGTGATGTGGAGGAGGGGTTGGACGACGTCCCAGAGCCACACCGTTCAGGCACTCTGCCACCGGGATCGCTCACAGACGCGGAGATCAAACGGCAGGCGCGCAAGGTGTAGCGTGCCTCGACTGTCCACCACCCGCCTTCGGTCGAGAGTGTGTTCGGTCATCTCCCTCGCCCTGGCCGTGTCCCGCTCCAACGCAAGCTGCTATGTCATGGCACACGTAGCGACCATCTCTCTCAACTGCTCCTCCTCGAGGATGTCCTCCGGGTCCATGTCTAGCCGCCTTGCGGCCTCTCTAACCGCCGATGGAGGCGTGAAGTCAACCTCTTTGCCACGCCTGCCCTCCTTCCCCTCGCCTTGCGATCTGTGCCATGAACTGCCCCACCGTCACCGCTCCACTCCGTCCCCTGCAAGGCCGCTCCATCGGTGTCCTCTCCTCCGGCCTTGTGCTCGTCATCGAAGTCCTCATCGTCGGGGACATCCCTGTCCTCACCTCCATCGTCCTCACTCGACGATCGCACAACCTGTGATTGGTTGCGCCCCCTCGCAGCCATGTGTTCCGCTCTCGACAATGGAATGCGCTCGCAATGGCTCTGTCGATCCCGAGACCGCATATCACTGGCGGCCGCATGCTCACTCCCGCTGGAGTCCTCACCACCCTCGGGCGCATCACTGCCCCCCTGCTCCAACTCCTTTGGGTCCGTGCATGCCTCTGCCTCCATCTCGTCCGCAGCCTGTGGGTCGACGGGCGGCTCGTACTCAATCTCCTCGTGGTACAGCTCGATATGAGCCGCGCATATGTCGTGGAGGCGGTCACTGCCGCTAGATTAGCAGCGGAGTCTCGACACGCCAGTCATGTGACGGGGACGGTCGATGGCCACAACGGGGATGACGACGACACCAGGGTGGGGTTGGATGACACATTTGGCGACGGGATTGCACGGCGACGTGATGACGACGAGGGGGACGGGGACGACGTTGCTGTCACGGCTGATGCGGGGGGGTTGCCTGTGTGCGATGGCACCGACGAGGACCGACAGCTGGATGTAGCACATGTCGCGTTGACGGATGCTCTAAAACATCGCCCTGAGGTGGAGGATGTTGTACCAGATCGCATTGAGGAGGACATGGACCCTGATGGAGCAGTTCGCACCGCCCCCGTTGGTGCACCGGCGGTCACCGTGTCCCCGCTGGAGCACCACGCTGCCGGGATCGATCCATTGATGGGCAGGAGCAGGCATATATTGCAACGGCTATGGAAGGTCGTGCCTCTATCTTCTTTACTCCCCGTGAGTCCGTCACTGCCCTCCGGTGTATCGGGGGATGATGCGAGGTCCATGGAGATGGCAGACCTGTTCGAGCAATTGACAGGTCAGAGAGTCATTGAGCCAGGAGGGGTGTCATGGGGAGCAGGGTCAGCAGGTGCGGGGGCACGGCCGAGGTCCCCGGGGGCGGTGAGTGGACGACGAGGCGAGTCTGGTGCCAGTGTTGTCGGCGGGGGAGCTGGGCGCACAGTCGCAATTGCACAGCCGACACTTTCAGGTGCGAGTGTTGGTGGGGGGGACGCAGCGGCAGCAGCAGCGACGCCCCAAGGGCGTGGCCATGTGGAGGCTTCTCCGTCCCCTTCATCGAAGGGGAAGGGGAAGTCTGTGTCGTGGAGCGACATCAGCAGGGTCACCAAAAAACTCAAGGATGCTATGCCTGGGGTCACGGGTGAGAGGAGGGATCGTGGTGGGAGGTTATCAGAGATGTTTGCGGATGCAGCAGGGTGGGTACGGAAGGGAGATAGGTTAGAGCATCCGCGTGCTGGGTCGTCAAGTGTTGTCGATGGACAGGGCAGGACGATGGTTGCACCGCCGTCACGACCGCCCACAGCAAGAGCGGCACATCGCGATGGCCAGCGACCCCCTAAGGGGCGATCTTCGACACGTGCTCCGGCGGTTGGCCGACTTCCACACCCGTTCTCGGAGGATATTGTAAATCCTACCACACTGCCGAGTAGCCGTGGAGGTTGTTTGTCAACTGCGCACAGGATACTCGAGGAGGAGCCGCGGCTTTAGACAGGAACTGGACCGGGCAGTCGTCGAGCGTCCGGGGGCCACACGAAGGATTCCGCGACGGATGAGGTGCCCATGCCTAAGGGTGCGAAGACATACTCCACCCTGACTGGGGTTTTGGGACGTTCTGCTACACGGGATGCGGAGAGAGAGATGGGGCATCAAGAGCCAGAGACGATGACAACTGCAGGAGTTGCCAGTCATGCCCCGGCTGCACCACAGCCTTCGCGGAAGAGAGACGGACGATGTCGACGGTGCCGCACAGGCGACGAGGGGACGTCATCGACGACGATGACACACAGGATGGGCAGCGTGGTGACTAGGACCGGGACTTTGCTGTGGCACCCATGATGTTCTGTATGTCTTTCTTTATTTCTTGTTTTATAGGTTTTGTTACTATTTTATTTTTAGAGTTTTTCTTGTTTTACAAGTTTTGTTGTGTTCCGCTTTCTGTTCTGGTTTTGTTCATGGTACCGACGGTGGTGTTAGACTCCGTACTTGAACGATGATGTTCATTACAGTAGAAATTATGTATTTTACATTTTTCCTTATAAGCGGTTTTGAATTTGGATATTTCGGTTGTCTATTGTCTACAACTCTCGGTTGTGTTTCGATGAGTGCAATTCCTTTTAGTTTGTGGGAATGTGCAATTTTGCCGGGGTTATTCGGGTAAGTTGGGTTTTCTCACGGATGTGCGGGAATGTGGGGGGCGGAGGGGTAACTTCGGTTTACTGAGGAGTATGCGGGAATGTGGGGGAGGGGTTACTTGGGCTTAACGAGGGCATTGGCGGG